GGCTTGTATGTTTATCGCTATTCGAACCTCATTCACATGAGATAGTAACTTTGATTGGTGGTAAACTGGTTATATTAATGAATATTGACGATACGGAGGATACTTAGGTAGATGACGGTGGTGAAGTTTGGTGATCCACTTTGGTCCTTAATAATTCTCCAACTTGAATCTTTACCTGTCCTCTTATCCTCCACTTTCATATCAATTTGAACTACCCTTGTCTTTCCTCAGTGTCTGGAGGACCTTCTCAAATCAACCAAAGCTGTAGCGCCAACAGTTCCAGACCCTGGTCTCCAAACTGCACTTACTGGGGCTGCTCGAAATACGCAGGTTTGTCTCACAGACCTGAAGCACTGCTTTGCCACCGCGGAGCCAATACTTAGGCGCGATCCCAACGCTTTGCCACCACCGGCACCAACAGGCTTGTTGCAGTCCTCTCCGCGAGTGCTGATAGGCGCGGGCAATTCAAGTAATGTGTTCGGTGGCTCGATTCCTGAAGTAGATGAGGAACTTGAGAATGATAATGTTGACACTGAGAGGGGTGCAGAAAAATCTCATTTGGCTATCACTAATCTTAAGGAAAAGTCAGAGGGTAAGCGGGGTTCTGCATTGGCTGCGACACAGCTCGAACTTGAAGAGCAAGGGAAGGCGGCTGATTCGGCGATGATTAGGTTGACGGCAGAAAACCGGATTCGAGAGCTCACGCACGAGCTGCAGACAGGCTCATCCAGGCTTCTTCCTGGTGAAACTGTAAGTGTATAGACTGATAACTTTGTTTATTTTTACATAAATTATACTGAATTAGTTGGTTTTGAATAATTCCTTTTCTCAACAAGTACTATTATTGTCTGGCAATTTTTTTCATTTTCTCAATATTTGCTTTTATAATAGAAGAGCTTTTTTGGACTGTAAAAACTTTTACTTTCTTCGAATGAACTGAAGGAAAACTATAAAACATACTCTGCAATTGAAGTTTTTTGACCTTGTTTTAGCAATTTGGTCATATTTTCAGGGAGACCGAGGGGAACGCATCTTGTCTGGAGTCCATAATAAGCAGTAATGTTCCAACTATATGTTGCTACCCCTAGTAAGATCCAAGCTCCAATAACATTCACTATCAACAAATGATAAATGTAACTTTTAATGGGCAAGTTGAAGAATCTCATTGGTCTATATATATTGAGACCAATAGTTTTAATCGAAGGTATGAAGACCAAAATGCTGTGGTCTTTTGTTTGGTTACAGTCTCCTTTATCTTTCTAATGTTCGTTTGACTTTGTTTTTTTAACTTAGTCGGAGTGTTAAAGCAACCTTGTGAAACGTACCTAGTCCTGCATCCTCTGTTAGAGTATTCGGGATTCAGACTTTAGATTTCATAAAGCAAGACAGTGATTTCAATGCGTAGCAAGGACCAATTGACAAGCAGGGTAGAAGGGTAGAGGCTAAAGGAATTAAATGAAGCCACGACCCAGCAGCCCTGCGCACAACATCTGAAACCGGCGCTGAAGTTGATTACGCCTTACCTAATCCACTTGTAGCGACACAGTCTTAGGCGACAGAGGAAACAAAAGCACAGCATTGTCTGAATAAGTGGATGGGCCATATGGAGTGAGGTTGAGGAAAAAAGATGCAGCACTAGAGGGTTGGACAATAAATAGAGGCGATGGGTTATGCCACAACATTCGAACGGAAAATTGGTCAAGGGGATTGCCTTTACTTACCACTTTGATAAGTTCTGGCTATGTGCTGACGATAGTGCCTCTCATTGACAAAGCCGGCGAAACGTGTGGGAATTTACAAAGTCAA